ACCAATTCAAACATCAGAGGTGGAATTTGGATATACGGTTTGATTGTGCGTATGCCATGCACGGAATTTACAAACGAGCGACGGGATGATGTAGCCTGCAGTATTAGCGGTAAGCGTGCCAAGTTTTAGGCCGCTCCGATGCCCGGCAGTATTTTATTTCGATTATTATGTTGGAACTGGATTTTTCTTGTTTCAGAAGCTTCTTCTATTTTATTGTCTCTATGGAGGTATATGGGGACTTTACGACATTCGGTTTGAAGGCTTTAACCACTTGTTATAGTTTATTTTTGCGTTGTATTGGATTAATGTGGCAGTCTAAGGTTGTCCTAGGTGGTTTTCAAGTTTATGCACCGGGTTTTAATATCATTTAGCGATTTTACGACAACCCTTTACTATCCAATCAAGGTGACAGCCGAGCGTGTTTCCCTTAAACACGGGATATAGAATTCTAGCCACTACACTGATTTCTTTCCATACTTTCCATTATATCCTGTTCCAGTACTGTTACTTGCCTATATCGTTACTCACAAGATCTCTTTCTCTTGTGTTCCAGGCAGCTTCATGGCCAGTTTTGCCCATACCCGCGCAGGGATCCCAGACGCCATGATCACCTCGGGAGCCATCAACCATCTCCTGGAGCACCTGTTCTCTGACAGCGAGGAGGTAAGATCAGCTGTTGCCTGCGCCCTGGGGTACCTCTCCTTCAACAAGACCACAGCGAGGGCGCTACTTGTGGCCTGCAGGAACCGCCCCAAGTACTACGACCTGCTCATGGACAATATTGGGCTGAATCCGAAGATTAGCGCTGACTTTGTGGATGATTTTAAGCGGGCTAAGCTGGTTGGGCTGCCATCGCAAAGGTACTGTAGGTTGTTTGGGAGATGTTTATGATAAATGATATTTTTACCTACTGCTACATACTTCTTAAAGTTGTTCTCATAATTTTGTTGAAAAATTGATATTCATAACGAAAGAGTCAGAAAATTAATGCATTTGACATATTGATTATAATTTTTTTTTCTCATTTTTGTATATTTTTTTTTCAGCCTGGAAATCAATGGAGGGCCTCCCATTATTCCTCACAACATTGTGAGAGATGGTGAGTAAAATTATTTTGTACAATTTTAAATGTATTAATTATGTAAGTTTTTTATAATAAACAGCTTGAACAAAATATTTGTAAGGTTTTGAGGTAGTTAACATCCTTGCAAGTATTTGAACTCATATTTATTTCAGCTGTTGAAACAGTTATATGGATAATGTGAAAAAGAAAAACAGTTATTTTATATGAATGATGAGCAAGTTTTGACTTGAATTATCTCTGTGAAAAGTTTTATAGAAATGGGTTGAATCTTTTAAAATATATTTTCATCATCATATTTTAAATTATTTCACACTCACTCTCTAAACTACCACATATACAGGATCTAAGCTAAAGAAACACTTTCGTCCCACTAACTTCTATCTGCCACCCAATAAAAAGGAGATAAAAGCTGAGCTTGGAACTTGCCGCAGCTTTCCTTTGCTGCATACTAACATGGCTACTGCTGATGCTGGGTAACATTGTTGATGTTGTCACCAACCATCGGCACTGTTACTGTTATTGCTACACCTCACGGAGTCACATCACCTTGTAGTGACATTCTGTTGTCTATATCATTTTTTTTTTTTTTTTTTTTTTTTTTTTTTTTTTTTTTTTTTTTTTTTTTTTTGCAAAATGTCGAGTCACTTATTACCATATTACACTGTTAAAACCAAAGCACTTCTGACCTTTTATAAATACTTCATTATGATGCCAGAAAATCTGCCACTTTATAATTTGGACATTTTTCCAATGACATACTCTGTTCGAGCACAAGAGAATTACCAAAAGGCATTGTTTAATTTTACTCCAAAATGATGTTTGAATGGATTTTGCTGCTAGCATTCTATGCTGTATGTCAATGGGGCAGAAAAGTAGGTCACGGAAGTAGGTTAAATTTACAACCAAAAATTTAAAGAAAGGAGCAATCTCAAGCTCTTTTATGGCTGATCGAGTGATCTATTCAGTTTGTCCCTTGACATGGTGAATTTATTTGAGTCGTATAAGAAACTAGTAGAACTAGTTTACATGTGTTAATGGGAATCCACGCTCCACCGATGCTCGGTTCGTACAGTATGTACCTTTATACTACATTAAAGATATGTTGTCACCCTTCGCCCAAAAAAAAAACTCCTCATTTACTGCCTTACAGACATTCCTTTGGGTAAAAGATAGGTCGTCAGTGTTCAGTGACTCAATTAATTAACATTTAAACATACATCATCTTACGGGTGACGTCATAATTGCGATTTTTGGGTAAAAACTGAAAAAAATCCCTCAAATTTTGCATTTACCTAAGCACCGACGATAACCGTTTCAACGCTGATTTAATGACACCAATTAGTACTCCAAAATCTTGCCAAGGGTTTGGGTGGTGGGAGGCGTTTTCGTACTTACCAACAAGGTTCTCTTTTACCTGTCGTCTTCGCTGGTCGTAGCTTCGACTGGACACTGATCAGTAGTCGGTTCATATGTTCACGTGGCCGTATCGCGAAAAATTAGTGGACCATAGATGACCCCTAGGGTCATATGGGCTCCGTTATTTAATTAGCTATCCCCGCAATTGTATAACATGCTCTACTAGCATTTGTGCGTACGTGATTAAGGTCTACTAGCAACCGCGTATGCGCGGCCACCACGGATCCTCCTTTCCTCCCAATAAATTTATTATTTTTAAAATAATATAACTTTATTGTCCGAAATAGCTCGGTTATGCCAATTATCAGTTTATAGGATGTTTACGAATATCCTTTAAGTATTGGAGGATAGGAGTCGTGAGCCGGCCGCGCCAGAATTTTTAAATTGTTATCATACTATGCCCATATATATATATATATATATATATATATATATATATATATATATATATATATCTGTGCATTCCTTTACGGTAAACTGATAATAATAATGGCAAAAGGTGGGTTGTATGTGAAACGCCATAGAACAGGTTTCCTGTTCACCCACCCTATTTCGAAAATAAACCAGAGATTGGGAATGGAGAATTATCAGTGCGGTGGTTTATTAATGCATCTAGAAGTGTAATAGCATGGCAATAGCAAGTGTATAGCATGGCATAGCAGTATTTATTGCGCATAACAATGTTCTATATACAAATGTCCTTGCCACCTATGTATTAACCTATAACTTTAACTAGTCATGCCTTATCATAAGTTAGTTTTGGTGCGTTATGATAAGTACAGTGCTCGCTCTGTGTAATGCGTACTTGCATGCATATACAGTTGTACCCCTTTACAGCTCATTTACTAAAAGTGCGTCGATCATAGCCACAGACATGCTATTTTGCCTCAGTATCTGATATACTTCATGAAGGCATTAGATTTCCAACGGCCTAGCTGTCTTATAAGGTCACTGGGCAGACCAAGTGATGCCGCCAATGTGGCACCCCCAATGCGGAAGGAGTGACTTTTGTAACGCGTGTCATTTAATTGTATTGCTGTAAACAATTGCCTGAGGGCACAAGTAAACTGATGTCTCGTGACAGGAAAACCACGTGCAGTCACAAATAGCTGGCCTGTACTGAGTTGAGGCCTCTTTAGAAGATATAGTTCCAATTGTCGAACCGGGCAGAGTAGGTACTGTTGTCTCCATAGTGTGATCTTTGCCTCCACATGTGGCTTACTGTGTTTGTATGAGCGTAGGGTTAAAGTTGCTCTGTCTGAATACAGCATGACATCAAAAATTTGTAAGGCATGTTTGGCGGGTGTTAGCACTAGTTCGCTGATGCGCATCAGCCCATAAAAGGCGACCAGCATGATTGTCTGATAAAGGCAGGCATCGTATGGATGGCAAAAAACTTGAGCAGACATGTGATAAAGCTGACTAAGAAGGTTGAGTGTGATGGGAAGTCTTGTGTCTTCCGTACCATTGCGTCTGTGGTGACCTCGTAGCGTTTCTAAGACCAGAAAATGTTTCGTCGGGTCAAGCCAGTTGGTAAACTGGTACTTGTATGCTAATGCTGAGAGCATTGTGCGTATTGTGCTAGGTGCTAGAAATTCTGCTAAATAAGTCACAAAGAGTGAGGTAACAATGGCATCACTTGGGAAAACTGATAGCCCAGATCTTTTTTCAAATGCCTGTATATGTTGATTTACCTGTGCATACGTAGCCAAAGTACTGGGAGCTTTTGCTTGTTTTAAAAGCGTTTCACGTCTGTTAGAAAGCTGTTCAATGAAATGGTGGTGGGCAGCGGGTCCATTTGTTTCCTGGCTAGTGGATGTAGCTGAAAAAAATTTTGCATATTATTACGTGAGATGGCATCAGCGCCTGTATTAGCAATACCTGCAATGTGTTCCGCTTTTAGGAGAATATTGTTTGACATGATGAGAATTACTAGGGGTCTTACGATTTTCATTAAATCACTATCTTTGGAAGAGCAGTTGTTTATGATTGCCACCGATGCTGCGTTATCGGTGTGCACCATGACATTTTTGTCTCTGAAGTGGCCTGCCCAGGTTTGCAAGGCTGCGAATATGGCATACATTTCCAAAATCGAAATATTAATATGTCCCTGCGTATCTATCCATTGGCCTTGTAACCAGCGATCTCCGAATATTGCTCCAAAACCAAAATGTTTTGCTGCATCCGTAGAGATATGGAGAGTATTTACATTCCAGTCGTCATCATGCATGAAAGCCTGACCATTAAACTGAGCTAAAAATGTTATCCACGTTCCTATGTCTTGTCGAATTTCCTTATTTAGTCTTATTTTGTGCCACTTTTTGTGTGCTTGGGATGTAAGGTTGTACATTCGACGAGAAAAAGCTTTCCCCCCTGGTATAACTGTGCAACAAAATGCTAACGCCCCTGTCATTTTTTGGAGGGTCTTCAGGGTGATTTTTTGTTTTTTAGAATTTTCTCGCAATATGGATATATACTTGTCAATTTTTTCTTGGGGGAGTCTAATCTGTCGCTTTATGGCATCAAGTTCTAGTCCTAAAAAGGTCATAACCGGGTTTGGTCCAAAAGTTTTATCCGGCGCTAAGGGCACTCCAATAACTTTACATAAGGCACAAAAGGAATTCAGTTGTCGCTGACAATGTTCTTTTGAGTCGGCCAAAATCGGGAAATCATCGAGCATATTTACAATGTCTGTAACAAGGTATTTGTTCTTAGCAGCCCATGCTATCGCATTACTAAATAATTGGAAAAGTTGACAGGCGTTGGAAATTCCCATTGGGAGGGTTGTGTCATGGTAGAAGAGACCTTCAATTGTGAAACCGAGGAGGAAATAGAAGTCGGGGTGTACGGGTACGTTTCGATATGCGTTTTCTATGTCGATTTTTGCCATGTGAGTGTCAGGACCTAGTTTGAGAATGCATTTAATTGCGTCTTGTACAGTTTGGTATTGTACAGTGGAATAGGTTGGAGGGATGCCATCGTTAACAGAATGACCTTCTGGGTGGGACAAGTGGTGAATACGTCTGAATTTTCCTGCTACTTTTTTGGGGACTACTCCCGTCGGTGAGGTTACAAAATAATGCCTCATGGTTTTTTTCGTAAATGGCCCTGCTATTTTCCCTTCCTTAATTTCTGCATTAACTTTCTGTAAGAGGATGCCCGTATTTTCTATTGTTGATTTTAGATTGTTTTTTGAGGATTGCGGTAAAGGGCCAAAATACGGAATTTTAAAGCCTGATCGAAATCCAGTAACCAAGTAGTGTCTTTTTTCCTCGTCATAGCCCTGTAATATATGATTAAGTTCATTGGATAACACAGGTGTTGGGATTTGTGACGGCCATTGGAACGTTCCACGGTTTTCTATGATGAACGGGACGATGGCGTTTGTTGGGTCTGACATGGGGTCCGGCGGGATAGCTGTTGAGAGAGAGGTAGGGGCTTCTGAATGTTTGTCTGGACTGCTCCAGCATGAAGGCTCTGTAGCCTCGTGTGCGTTTGTGGCCTGTGGTTTGTTAATAGGGTCGAGTATTAGACCTACCGAAGAGTGCACCCCTACCCCTGTTGCCACGTCCACCTCTGTTGTTGTACTTGAGGATGTTGCAGTTGATTCCGCGATGGCTCGACGAGACACATATATTGCAGATGTGTTGGTACCTGCACTGCAATTTGTCACAGTAGTCCCCCCTGTTCCAGCGGCGGCAGATGGGTGCCGTGATTGTGCGTTGTGACTGTGCGGGAAGGGAGCGAAAATTCCGAAAGGACTGCCTCTTAGCCGATTGGTTTCCAAAAGATGAGAGGGGAGGGGTCTGCGTCTGAGGTTGGTATGAACAACGTAACATCAGCTCTTGATTAATAACTTCCCACTGAAGACCGAATAATTTGTTCTGTCTGAATTCTTTATCATAACGTTGCCAGTCAATTCCTGGCGTTTTGCTGAGCTGTAGGATGTGGTCCCCATATTTCAATAAATTTAGTGCCTGGAGGGGTTGGGTTCGAAGATAGATCGTTTGGAAGATGTAAAAGGCTGACTGCCAATCTTGGAAAGATAGAGGTGAATTAGACGTGGTGGGAGTAAGAATTATTTTCATCATTCCATTGTCATCGAGTTCCCCACTATACGTGAACTGTTGTTTCTGTTCTTTTTTAATAAGTAAATGAAAATCTACATACTCATCGCGAGTAATTTTATCTCTAATGGTCTGCGATATATGGCCGTCAAGGGGGGTGGAAAGAAAGGTAAGAGAATTACCTGTGATGGCGCCTGCTAGTCCTGGACTGCTGTTCTGGTGTAATGTTGGCTGGCTGGAAGCCTGAATTGGGAACAGCTGGTTTCCATATGTTCTTAATGGATCCTGGCCTACACCAGGATGAGGAGGCTGGCCCCCTACCATACCCAATCCTATGGGCACCATCTGTGCGGGGGCCCCTAAGTGAGACGGCTGTCCCCACCCCATAACTGGCATTGCTGTGGGTTGCTGGGCCATCCCGGCGAACTGAGGTTGACCCCCTGTTGTTCCTGTATTCGACATGGGAGGATACTGGGCTATCCCAATGAAAGGAGGCTGCCCCCCTGTTACTCCCATATCTGTTGTGTGTGGTTGCTGGACTTGTCCAGTTCGAGAGGGCTGCCCCCCTGTACCACCCCGAATCGCGAGGCCTGGTGTCCCCGAATAGCTGTCTGCGGCTTGTCTGGGCGGCCTGTGTCATCTGGCCCCCTATTTGGTTTTGGCAGGGCCCCACTTGATCTGTCAGTAACCTCATGTAGGGACCCATTTGAGGTCCCACTGATGGTAATCCCGGAGGATTCATCTTGTGTTTTGATTCCTAAAGAAAGGGAGAGAATGTTTGTAAGTAACGACTCCTAACTGGCAGGTTTAGTCTTTCGACAGTGGCCCCGCCCACCACAGTATTACTGAATGGACTGGAAGAAAAAGGAAGAAACATGCTTTAAGTAACCAACTTAAACATGAAAAAGAAAAATTTTTAATAGGCACAATTAACATGCTGTTAGAATATTAATCAATTTAACCCACTATTTGCCATTGTGCTGGCTGCTGATTTTAGATTCTTCCAGAATCTTTTATGTCCATAACTGTTGACATGAGTGCCATTATCGCACAACATGGCAGACGCAGCCTCATATGCACCCTTCATCTTCCAAAAGTGGATATTTTCCTCCTGATGGAGTAATCGTTGAAGGAGGTGGTTGGCCGTTTTTACGTGCTGTCTGTATTGCACCTCGTGGGTTGGAGTTCTTATCCTGCTGGTGGGCATTGAAGAATGGCGCCGAGGTATCAGTTGGCCCACGAATACTACCTTGACTTGCAGGGCCCACTGCCTGAGAATTGCAACGTAGTCTACCACAAGTTGTCTCACTCTTGCTGTTGAAGCGTCGCAGGTGATGTCGTTACCTAGCAGTTGGCAAAATAGACCGTCATACTCATTCAGGCGAGCTAAGGCAGGCAACTCTGTTATGCTTTGGAGAGTACCCCCGCTTAGACCCATTAGGGTTATCCTGCATTTGTCTTTTAACTCCAGGTCAGGTGGGCAGCTGGCAACTGTAGCTTTGTTAATGCCTTTGGGTGTTTTAACCCGTGCGATAAGACTGTTGCCGAGCAGCAGTAGGCGAGGGCGTGACATGCTGAGTTCTGAAAGACAGGATCTGTGTTATATTTGTTTAAAACATGCGGGTCAAGATCTGGTTATATTCAGTTGTAACAAGACTACATATTTATGATAATAGGCTATGCAAGGAAGAGAACGGTTTACATGATGCAATAACATAGTATGCCAGTACACCTGTTTGTGCTAGGACAAGAATTAAAAAGGGGGGACTCTGATATTAGAGGCTAGTGAGCTTAAGTAGCATATGAACATACGCTTTTAATGAGAAATTATGCGAATACATTGGCTGGCTGACGAAGCGTAAAAATATAACAATTATTTTATGTAGCGTAGAGTACGAAAATTTTAAGATTTCAGATAGGGTGTGCCACTTTTTAGAGAAAAAAATTCTCGATATCCATTTATGGTCATAACAATGTTGCGTAAAATTTATCACAAATGCATAATTACTTGAAGATTTGGGTTTGGTACTATGTTATGCAGCGTGCGAAACATAAGCCCTAATTGATTTAGCGTGCGAATATGTAGCAGAAATAATTACGTGTGTCAATTTGCTGAAACTATGAAGCATGTAAATATGGCTGAAAATGTTAAACTTGCAACTATGGGGCTGGAAATATAAAGCAAATGAACATGCCATCAAAAGGCGTGCGAACATGTGGCTGAATTAATGATGCGTACGAAATAAGCGTGCGAAATAAGCAGTAAATTGAAATTACACATACTTAAATATATGAGCACATGCTGTCAATTCATACCCAAGTGATATGGTAATCGAAGTATCTATAAGCAGCATATACATTTTGTTAAATATACTGTAATAAAAGCATTATAACGTTAGAGGATTGCACAGGTGGGCATTAGTACGCATATATGTAGCCATATTCATAAGTCAATAATATCTGTCGTAGGTGTTTTTGAATATAACAAAATATATGAATGCAGCGTATCGTGGGCTAAGAATATAAAGCGAATGAACATGCCACCAATAAAGGCGTGGAATTCATGAAGCGTGCGAAATAAGCGATAAATTGAAGCTGCACATACTTAAATCTATGGTGAACAGCACATGTCAATTCATACCCAAGCGATAGCAAATATATGCATGCAGCGTAGTGTGGGCTGAAATTATAAATCGAATGGACATGCCACCAATAAAGGCGTGTGAACATGTGACTTAATTCATAAGGTTTTCGAACTTACATATATAAAGCGTGCGAAATAAGCGGTAAATTGAATCTGCATATACTAGAATCTATTGTGTACAGCACATGCTGTCAATTCATACCCAAGTGATAACAAATATATGTATGCAGCGTATCGTGGGCTAAGAATATAAAGCGAATGAACATGCCACCAATAAAAGCGTGTGAATATGTGGCTTAATTCATGAGGTTGCGAACCAAACATGTATAAAGCGTGCGAAATAAGCGTGATAAATAAGCGGTAAATTGAAGCTGCACATACTTAAATCTATTGTGAACAGCACACGCTGTCAACTCATACCAAAGCAATATCAAAAATAATGTGTCGATTAGCGGCATGCAATTTTTGTTAAATATATTGTCATATAAGCATTATAACGTTACAGGGATGCACAGATGAGAATTAATACGCATATATATATATATATATATATATATATATATATATATATATATATATATATATATATATATATAGCCATATTCATAAGCCTATAATGCTGTCGTAGGCGTTTTCGTACTTACCAACAAGGTTCTCTTTTACCTGTCGTCTTCGCTGGTCGTAGCTTCGACTGGACACTGATCAGTAGTCGGTTCATATGTTCACGTGGCCGTATCGCGAAAAATTTGTGGCCCATAGATGACCCCTAGGGTCATATGGGCTCCGTTATTTAATTAGCTATCCCCACAATTGTATAACATGCTCTACTAGCACTTGTGCGTACGTGATTAAGGTCTACTAGCAACCGCGTATGCGCGGCCACCACGGATCCTCCTTTCCTCCCAATAAATTTATTATTTTTAAAATAATATAACTTTATATTTAATGAATTAAAAAACATTTGCGGATTGCAATTTTCTATTGATATACTATCGATGGTATCCCTGTATTAAATCATCCACTGCTACCCCCTCTTTTGTAGTGTAGCATGACTCGTATCACAAGATGGCCTTAGAAATGAAGTAAGACAGGCCTACACTCTGATAGTTTTTAGTCTATTATTAACCCTAATGTCGTTGCTTGTCATTCAATCTAGAACTCTCTGAGCCATCGCAAAGTTATTTGCCAGGACATTAAAGGCTACTTCTTAACGGATTTTTTTTATTTGCGCCGAGTCCACAATGTTCGAGGACGTCTCTGTCGTTATCGCCGTTTCCCGGACGCANTACGTACTGCTGATGGATAAAAACTATTTTTAGTGCGCGTGGAGGTTGCTTTTAATGACTGTAGTCGGCTTGTTGACATATGCATAAGTAGGCTATTCGCTGGGTGACCAGGGTCAAGACCGATTATATTTAATGAATTAAAACACATTTGAGGATCGCGATTTTCTATTGATATACTAGCAATGGTATCCCTGTATTAAATCATCCACTGCTACCTGCTACCCCCTCTATTGTAGTGTAGCATGACTCGTATCACAAGATGGCCTTAGAAATGAAGTAAGACAGGCCTACACTCTGATAGTTTTTAGTCTATTATTAACCCTAATGCCGTTTCTTGTCATTCATTCTAGATTTCTCTGAGCCATCGCAAAGTTATTTGCCAGGACATTAAAAGGCTACTTCTTAACGGATTTTTTTATTTTCATTGAGTCCAAAAATGTTCAAGGACGTCTCTGTCGTTATCGCCGTTTCTCGGACTTCATTTATACGGCATTGAACGGCAGTCCCAGACAAAGGATCGGAAAGTTTCTTAATAAAAGAACTTATAAATGCTGCCACTAGCCAACGTTATTGTTCCTAAGTAAAGAGAGGCGATAATGATCTGTTCTTTCTTCTAGCTTAGTCTGTCGACTAAAATGAACAAGGTTAGGCCTACAATGCAACCACCAATTATTACACCAATTAATGAGGTTCTCTGTTACACTCCCTTTCTTCATGATCGCGAAACCCATGGAGTGCTGTGTTTTAAATATATAAAAAGCGTCTCGCGAGGCGAAGCTATAATAATGAACAAAAAAAAAATACGATGAATATCTACGATAATAAACCATGAAGCACGTTGCCTAGGCCTCTTCTTTGACCGACATCACATTTTTACATTCTTTGTTTTAATAAGAGGACGAACGTAGTCTAATTTGTCTTTTGGTGGTGATTTTGCTCGAAGTAGCAGAGTCAAGTAAATCGGTGATTTACCATTGGTAAGAGTAGCAATCATCGCTCCTGATCCTCACAGATTACTTTCTAATCCCCCGTAATTAACGCAGTCAGGAATAAGCGCTGAAATAGGGGATTTTGTATCAGGGAAAATTTTAGTATTAATCTTATGTTATCATGTATCTGTATTATGTACTCGTGTAACTCATTTTCCCAAGGCAACCACCAATTATGTCGACCGTTAATGAAGTTCTCTGCTACACTCTCTCCTCATGATCACTTGCTCGATCGTGAAACCCTGGAGGTGTTGGGTATATATTTAGGGTAGTTTACTATAGCATGCTACACTCTCCTCATGATCACTTGCTTGATCGTGAAATCTGGAGTGAAACCCATGGCTTATCTAACAATGGTTTAAATAAATAAAAAGGGTATCACAGAGGTGACTCATAAGAATAATGAACGAAAAAATACGATGAACATTTAATAAACCAAGAAGCATGTATGTTTTGACCGTCATCGCCTTTTTTACATAAGATGTTTCAACAAGAGGG